AGTCACTAAGGACAGCATTAAAAGACGAAGAGCACCATTCCCGGAAAGCCTCATTTAGAAGACAGATGTTAGAGAAACAGCATTTATAGCAATGCTTTTGCTTTTCTTCTCAGACAACTGCGTCAAATTAAAATGTCTGGAATATAAATAAACAAACAAACAAATAAATAAATAATACATTTTTTTCATGCTTTTTCTCATTTTCCAAGACATTTTTATCATTGTGACTGGGTAACTCATGCTGCACAGGCCCTTCTGAAAGTGTGTATGTTTGAGACTACAATCTAAAATCTATTTTTATCATATTTAATAATTAAGACTAAATGATGATGTCCAGATAAAGTTACTGAAGTGAAAGAACTAAATGTCGGTGTGAAATTTAAGTAGTTTAAACTATTTTTCTGGAGTTTAAATGTGTGGAACTAATTTAAGTTAACAGCACATCTGTTCACATTTCTAGGAAAGCCCATCCGTCCGTCCATCCATCCATTTTCTTCCGCTTATCCGGAGTCAGGTCACAGGGGCAAGAGCCTAAGTAGAGAGGTCCTGGGTCTTCTTTTAGGTCCTCTACCAGTAGGACGTGCCCCCAAAATTTCCCGCTATACCCTAATAACATAGCTTTTAGTATTTTGTTTCTTTCATCATGATAATCTACACTTGTGAAACAATAACCGTCCACGTGGAAGGGAAGTCTAAATAAGTGGAAAATGGGAAAAGAAATCTGGGTTAACATGACAAGAGAAGACAAGAAAAGCTGTGAAACAACTGAACATATAGAATTTCTAAAGGGTACCTTTGTAATTTATTAAGAAGTTTTCTTTTTATTAATACGTAATAGATGTGTTAGCTTCCCTCCTGCCTCCTTCAGACAAAAGTCATAAAAGGAAAAACCGTCAAAACTGAAATTCAACACGACTCAAATATGTGAAGCACAACAAAAGAAGGAATGTGGATTCACACACTGGTGATGTGGTTAAAGCTGTAGGGGACAATGTGCATATGTGAGAGGGTGCTGAAATGCAGTTATTAATCACCGAGCAAGCGTTGATTCATCTGTTGTGGTGGCAGTTTGGAAGATGGACTCTGTTTACTGCTAAAGCTGTTTGAGGGGCTTTGGGAGGCAGCCATCAATCTCCTGGCTATCTTCAAAAGGAGCCAATGCACAGGCATCAGTTTTAATCACCTTGCAAAGACAGGTGGTATGGTAAGCTCCTGCACAACAGTGTTTTTCTCCCGTCTTTTTTCCTTCTTCAAGGTTATATTTTTTTTTCTTTCCTTGGGGAGGGATGTTATTAATGTGTATTATCATAATAATAATAATAATCCCTAAAAATACATACTGCACCCTGCCCTTTGGCTCCCTTGCCGTTTGACACCTCATGTTCATAATTAGCATCTTCAATTAGCCCATTTTAATTGCCAACCATGAAAAAGGTGGAAGACCTCAGCAAGTTAATGCCACAGGGAGATGTTTTGTAAATGGCTGATATTATAATATAGGCATCTAAAGAGGGGGTTGTGCTAATGGACTTTCAACCTGAACCTGCAAAGTTGCCCTTTATGTATGGCAAGCTGGTGCGGGTGACTTTGCAGAAGGGTGCATGTAAAATAAAGCAGGGGTGAGGATATTGTTCCGATGTGCAAATTGGTTCTGAGTGGCTGAATAACAACATTTGGATTTGAAACCTCCTCTCCACACACATGCAACTGCACTAAAGACAGAAACAAAGAAAAAGATCACGCACCCTGAACACGTTTTTTAATCTAAGTCAGTGAGAACCATTGCCTCTGCAGGAGTCTAATGGTAGCAGTTAGCCATTCATTGCTCCCTCTTTCTTAATATAATCTTGCTTTTGTTTTCCAGGTGTGTTTTCTGAAGTGCTCTGCATAATGGAAAGCGCTTAATGATTCTGTTTTGTTGTGTTGCTCTCGATTATTCCTTTTATATGAGTTCACACAAACTAGATACAAGAGAGTACATCGTGCACCACACTTTTTTTTTCGTGATGTGAGCAAATCATTCTGTCATACTGACTTTAAATCACTCCTGCTGGTAGGAAATATAATATGAAAGCAGTCCATTCTTTTTGGGAGCAGGAGTGGGATAATGGGGTGGGGGGGTACTGCCTCCTTTGCAAAGTCTCCACAGCCCAGTTTATTCTCACAGCAATATTGGTCCAATAAGGCAGTCAGCACTTTGGTGTAACGCCACGGGAGTTCCCGTGCCCCCAAGATGGACTGAAATCAATTGGAGTTAGCAGTAGAGAGCACAGGCAGGAAAGTCTAGGGTTATGTTTGTTAGATGGGGAGGTCTGACAGAGGTCAATGTGAGCAACTAACCCCCCCCCCCCCCCCCCCCCCCCCAAAAAAAAAAGTAGGTTGTGTTTATTTTTCTAACATTTCTTTTTCCTGCAATAAACTCCTAGCCTGTCATGGCTCAGGCCTCACAGGAATCTGAAGCTGGTCATACGCGTTTTCCTTATCAGAATGAAAGTTATTAAAGGGTCAATTAAAAAAAGTTCTGCTTTCATCTTCATGTCTACAATTATACAATCATCCCTGTTGATTTTGTTGTTGTGTGCAACAATTTGTGAGATTTTAATTTGTGCAGAGGTGCTGTGGGCTGACAGGCAGGGCTGGCAATTGCTTGGGGCCCCCAGGCTGCAAGGGACCCCCCAGAGGGCCTACAAACATTGAAGTCAGAACCACAACAGCAGTGTGACAGTGACAAGCAATCATTTGAGTCTCACTCTCCCTGTTGGGGGCCTTCCCCTCCCTCCTAACTGCTCAGCAGCACACGTCTTCATCTGAAAAGAAACTCCGGTGTCGGTACAGGATCTGCTCGGGTGCAAGATCGGCTCGGGGTCCTTCGACTGCCGATGACGTCAGTGTAGTTGACTGGCTGAACATGAACCATAGGGAAGTTACGTAATCACGTTACGTTGTTATCGCGTTACGTTGGTCCAGGCAAATTTTTCTGTTGGAAAGATGGACAACTTTTACGAAGAAATCCATCATTACCTCTTTAAAAATACACTTTTAGCATAGAGCTGCATGTATATTAGGGCTGAACGATTAACTGCATGTGCAATTAAATTACGGTGTGACAAAAGGAGATTTTCTAATCGCAAAGGCTGCAATTTGGCAGCGAGTGGTTAGCGCAATGCTAATATACATGGAAAAACCCATAGGAGTGCTGATGCTAATATCACCGATTACATTCTTACAAATTATGAATTAGAAACATGCCAAATGATTACATTTGGAGTCTAATAGAAAGTAAAACTACCATCAATCAAATAAGTACAGACAGGTATTTTAGTAACGCCAGAAAAGCACTCTGGGTGCGATGACGCATATTGGTTGTTCTTGCTATTAACGCTAGTGTTTGTTTACGCGCTCACCATATTAATAATTAAGTAAAATGCTGCACTGTGCTGCTTTTGGGTGTAATTTCCAGTCAGAGGGCAACAAGGTGAGTGATGTGAGTTACACAGCTTTCCCACTGGCAAGAAGAGGAAAAAGCAGTGGGAAGATGCCTGTGGACGGACACAATTTCCCAGAGATCCGCGGCTGTGTTCCCAACATTTTTCTCCTGATGCGTTTGAGGCTTATGGGCCGTTCCCATCTGTACCTGGCTGGCCCGGGCCGGGTAGCCCCAGTCGGCCCCAGCCTGGCCCGGTTGATTCCACACATCCTTGTCTTAAGCCCATGTGGGCTGATTCTACCCACCAATCAGAGGCTTGCTCTAATGGAAGGTGTGAATTTGCTGTCAGCAGTGGGTGTGTTGGCCCTGGTCGGCCTGAAGCAGACCCCCTCGAGAAGAGGGCTGAGAATGAGCCTTGGTTGGCTCGGAAAAATACCAGGCCACCCAGATATGTAAACAACCTACGCTACCCGGCCCGGGCCGACCTGGTACAGATGGGAATGGCCCATTATAGTCGACCACAACTACTTACAGAGCTCACCAGAGCAGCTGGGTATAAGAGAAAGCGGAAGCTAAATGCTTTACCGACCATTTTCCCACACAAGGAGCCTAAACGCCCTCGGAGAGACAAGAGACGCTGGACGCTCTCCTGAGCCGACAACCCGCTCCTGCAGCTGCCGCTTCTGTCACGTTCAGCGAACCATCGGACACGCCACTCGTCACGAATGAAGCTGAACATTCACCTCTCCCAACAGTAAAACAAGCAGTAACTGTAGCAACACAGTGTTCTCCAAATATATAATATCTGCAAAAATGATTAAAGTTGTTTCACTGAATATCCTAATCATGTTTGCTTCTTTTATGTATTTAGGTCCAACTTACAAAAATCCTCAATTCAGACAACCAGCCTGCTCAGTATGCCGGTTTTTCTAATGTCGTAATTTTTAAAAACTAACCTGGTCTGTGGTGACATTTTATTTTAAATTCCTTTGTCATTATGATCAGTGGAATAAAAAAAAGATGTGTTTCTCAGGAAAATTTGGGGGATTTTTATGAATTTGTCCCTCGTCCCACAATAGTGCAGAATACAATCAGACACTCAGAGAAGAAGGCTGATTACCACTGATTATTACAGAGTACTTCTATCCTTATTAATGGATTTACAGACACTCGTCCAACTGCTGATTGGTGGACAAAAATCCAAGTACGAGCCATTTCTCCACAACAAGGTCATGCAAAATGGCCATTATGACAAAGTTCACATTTTAAAGATTTCATTCTACAACTGATGCAATGTTAAACTCCCTTCTTGTTTGTCTAACATCTTTCAACCTCTGGTGTGCATGTAACGGCAGTTTATCTAAGGCATTAGCATGCATATTTGAAGTCACTGACTTTGTATTGAATGTTAATGCTGCTGTGATCCATTTATAATATGTACAGAAACAAGAATTGTGCTGTAATTATTGTAGACACTGTCAGAGGCTCTCGCTTGGTGTTCGAGACACAGTCTCAGAATATAAACCCATGTCAGAAACTTTTAGTTTGCTTCATCGTGTTGTTTTTCTCTTACTCTGAGGAAGGTGAGGTTCCGACTGCGGTCGATGCTTGTGATCTCAAGGTTGCCCATTACGACTTCACAGTTCTCATAGTATTTCCTCAAGGTGCGATACTGCTGCTCCAGGTCCGACAGGGTGCTCAGCTTGTTCTCAGTTCCAGCACATACTGAAAATAAATGGAAGACACACACACACAAATAAAAACAGGACAGGGTTAAATGGCAATGATAAATGACCCACACTTGTATAGTGCCTTTCAGAGCCAGAGGACTCCAAAGTGCTTTACACTACAGTGTATCATTCATCCATTCACACACATTCACATGCTGATGGTGATGAGCTACAAAGTAGCCACAGCTGCACTGGGGCACACTGACATACATTGGCATTTCACAAAACAGGATGTTGGGACCTCAATTAGTAAAATATGTACTCTGACGCTACCCTACCCTAACCCTAACTTTAACAAGTGCTTATAAGGTCGGAAAAGAAAAGGTGAAAGGAAAAGGAATTAATGCAGTTATCTGTCTTGATAATAAGACCCCCCCCCCCCCCCCCCCACACACACACACACACACACACACTGCATCTCAAGTCCTTCCCCCATCATATATTGACACCCCAGAAGTCTTTACTGGCTAACAAGTCTGCCCACTTGATAAGTAATTAAACAGAACCACCTCCCCCCAACAAACACCTTGCACACCCAAGTAGCCATCTGTCCAATCAGCTGGTGTTGACTGACCTTGCATAAACATGCAGATTTCCTGTTAGCTGCATTAACATCTGTTTATCATTAATTTAAAAAAGGCAATAATGAAAAAGTGATGCATAAATATTAAAATAGTGCTTTGTAGTCTGTCCTGTCAGTAGAGCTGTCTCCGCGGCAGAGGGGTGAGGAACCCCTCCTTGGGTCATGTCACAATGTCACCCATAAACTGTTACACATCTCTTTGAACACCCCCACATTAAAATATCATTATGAATACATAGTACTTTAATCAAAACCACAGCAGGGCAATGCTGAGTTGTCAATATTCTAGTGTAGCGTCATTTACACTAGTGTTCTCCAGTAATTAAGCCAAAACGTATTTACCCTTTCTACACATACCCACAGACATAAAGTGGTAAAATAGGTCCAGTTCCATTTGTTTTCCACTCTCCCATAACACAACAAACACATGAGCCAAAAGCTGATTCAGCCTTGGAGCACCAAAGGCTTTAAAGACAAATGTGATTGTTTTATAAATACTTCCACATCTAAGCACATATGAGATAAGTGGAGCCATTCCAATGTGACCTGGACAATGCCCATATGGACATGTGCTGATTGGCTGCGTTGCACACAGCATACTATGGTGCTCAGAAATGATATATGGCAGGCCTGGGTGTTTTCAATAACAGTTAGCGTGGGCTGGAGGGGAGCGGGGCAGAGGTAGGGAAGGGTCATAAAGCAAGGATAGGTGTAATAAACTGTTATTGCACCCTTGGGGCAGGGTGCCGAAATTAGAAGAAAGGGGCATTGTTGCATGTGATGTCTGGTGAAATTTACTTTTTACACCCATATGCTTCTTCAAGAAAGGCTTAAGTGACTCTGCAGACTTTCAAAACCTGTCTGCTTCAGCATGATGCACAGGCATATGGGAGATGTCAAAACCAGTTACCTCTGGTTTAAAATCAGTTCAAAATTACACCACCTCTAAATTTATATATGTATATATATATTTTTTTTACCCTTTTTTTTTACTGAATATAATTGATGTGCTAAGGCATCAGAAGTTGAATAAAACAGAAAGCTTTTGCAATACTTTTGTCAAATGCACTTAGGATGCGCTCTTGGAATCTGAAATTTCCTTTTTCGTTTTTTTCCTCTGTTATTTCACCAGCTTTCTTTTAATCTACATCATAGTACACATATTCTCTCTGAAAAATCTCGTAGAAAACAAAGTTACTTTGTACACCTTTTATTCTTTTCTTATCAACAGGAAGGCATTTAACTATATCAATACCACCCACCCTCTGTTTTCATTGGGACAATGTCTGTGGTATGTTTGGACTGGCCAATTCCATAATTCCATAAAGATATTTGAACATGCTCGTGCTTCACTGGTTGCCTGTTTATTTTAGAATGTGTTTTAAAATGATTCCAATGCTTTTTAAATTCTTAAATGGTGTATCTCAAGTCTATCTATCTGATTTGCAGATGTGTGACACTTTGCTCCAAAAACTTGATGCTGCTTTTCGTCTCCAAGTCTGGGCTCAAGACTGGGGAGATACAGCTTTTTCGGTGGCAAGTCCAAGACTTTGGAATTAACTGCAGTTAAATATCAGACAGTCCTCCGTCTAGGCTAAAAACCCATTTTTATTCCCTGGCGTTTAATTCTGCGGGATAACTGATTTTGTTGCTGTTTTTATGTCTTTACGGTTTTTACATTGTTGCTGTTTTTGATGTTTCTTGATTTGTCTTCATTGTTTATACAGGATCTTATTTGTCCTTATAAATGTGTTTTATAAATAAAAGTTGAGTGGAGCAATTCAAATTTTTAGCAAAAGTCTATTGAATTGAACCTTCTGTTCCATTTTTGTGTACTTCTATTGGAACACCATCCATAAAAGCTGATCCTACATTTCCACCCTAGCCTTGTGGTGTGTGAAGAGAGCTACTTGTGCACGTAGATCATCAGTTAGATAAACTTTAGCATGGTTTTTTAACCTTTAGTCATCCATTAGTTTGTTCAGCCTGACCGGTGCACACAATGTGGTCTCCATCTGGTGAGCAACTGTCTCCCCACTCTACGCTAGTTTTTGTGCACATGTTCTTTTATACTTTTAAATCTTCGTGGAATCTCAAAACACTTAAAATATTCTTTTTATGTGCAAGTGGAGCCTAGCCTGATGTGTGGAAAACAAAACTGGAGCAAACTTGGTTTCATAAGTATTTTTTGCATTTTGGACTAGGCGTAGACTGAGCGGTTGGCTGATGTATTGGGATAATATTCACCATTTTTTTAATATATCAGCATTAGCTGATAAATCTCCTTAGTGAAGCTCAAGGTCAGACACACCCCTGGGCAGAACGACATCTGCATAAGAAATGCTCTAAACGTTCTTTTCAACTAAAATTTCTTTTTAAGTTCCAGTTTTGAACATTTTTAATACCTGGACAATCAACTGATTTGTTTGATTAACTTTAGTTAGATGTTTGATTTAAACACTGCACAGTGCATAAAACCAAGCTTTAACAGTTGGTTGAATCTAGAAATTTTGTGCACAAACTGATGTAATTTGTGACATGTTAGCATGCAAATAAGGTGAAAATTATCTAGACATCAGCCATGAAAATCTGCCCGAAAAAATCGGCAGCACGTATTCGCCATCGGCTGACCATGTCCTTTAGATATCAGCATCGGAATTAGCAAAAGTAAAATAAAATAAAATAAATCAATAATGTAATTAATAAGGTTGTTGCTGCTACTATGGAGGAGTCTCACGTGACCATGGCAGAAAACGTGTGAGGCTTGGACCCTCTTGTGTCAACTGAGGACATGCAGTTGAATAGTGATCCTGAACTGGTGGAATCTACAACAAAGTTGAATGTGGATAGGCCACAGTCTCCAATGTGGAGTCTGGTTGCTGGCAAGAGTAGATCTCGCCCAGCGGCAGCCGAGGCCGAAGTTTCCCGACAGCGCCCTGTAGCTCCTGGAAAAGTGAAGAGACCTGGGACTAAGTCTTTTGTTGGAACGGGAGTAGTGAAAATCATTAGAATGGTTACAACCAAGCTGGTGAGTGTTTTCGCTTCCAGATTCTCACCGGATGTCGACGAATTGACTTTATCTATGTAACTGAAAGAAAACCTCGGCCGAGACATTAGCTGTAAAAGGATCAAAACTGTTTATAAACGTTTCAGTTCCTTTAAAGTTTCTGCTGAATGCAATGATGTGAAGGAGATGTACAATCCGGATCTCTGGCCTGAAGGGGCTTTTGTTCTGTGATATTTTGAGCCCAGGAGAGCTGGGCATGACAGATTTGAGCTGAATGATACAAAGGGCAACAATGGAGCTGCTGCGGTGGAAAAATGATAACATATGGACTTACGAGTTCTGTCTTATAACTGTTGCGGGCTTCCGCTCGGAAACAGTGATGGAGATAAAGCTCATCGACTGGTCATTGATCACCTTTTAACTGACTGTGATATTTTCTGTTTGCAAGAGACATTTTTAGTGCAGCAGGACCTCTCAAAGCTGAACTCTTTTAATAATTTCTTTTTGGGGTGGGTGAATCTACTACAGATTTTTACAGCAGTATTGTTAGAGGGAGGATACCTGGGGGTGTCGCAATACTGTGGAAAAAAAAACTATGGATAAGTGCACAAAATTATTAAAATGGGAGTAGATTGGTGTATTGGAATGCATTTGTCCTTTGGAAATAAGGATTTTCTGTTCTCATGTGTATATTTACCTTATGAATGCCGACAGAACGAAGGAGATTATCTTAATAAGCTTGCTTTTTTAAACTCTTTTATGGAAAGTTGCAATTTTACTAGTATATATGTTGTGGGCGATATGAATGCCGATATCTCTAATGTGAATTCCAAATTTGGCAAACATCTGAGTCAGTTTTGTTTAGAGCACAAATACATTATGTCAAGTAAGCTCATGCTGCCGCATGACAGTTATACATATATTAGTGAAGTCTGGCATTCTACTACATGGCTAGAATATTGTTTTAGCTCATCAGATGCTCATCGGTCTCTTAGTTCAATGAATATTCTATATAACCTGGCCGTCAGTGATCATATCCCGATTTCATTCTCAGTCAAAGTTGAGCGTCTTCCCGAGGTGTTTGTAGTAGGGGTGGGCCGTTATCGGCGTTAAAGCGCTGCGGCAAAGCCAGACTCTTATCGCGCGATAAAAAAAATGACGCTGTTAATCTATTCTCAAAGTTGGGTTGGGATCTGGGTCTATACTAAGTAAGCTATGATGACTTTCACATTGCGCGGATGGATACCTGGTTGGCGCGGATGTATACTCAGCACGGATCATCGTACGTATGGACGGACGCCAGGCTCGCGGAGTTTAATGTTCCCCATGCAGCCGAACAGTCGCACCTTCGCCACCAGCAGCGCTTCTCCCTTCTCATCGCGCGGGACAAGTAAATAATTTATGTACTTTCACCAGAGTTTAATCCATAAATCCGACTTTCATTCTTCTTATTTTGTTTTGTTTACCTCCGACATTTCCAGCCGGACTTTTCCCGGGCCACACTTCACCGTCCGCGGCCGAAGCAGCGCTCGGATGTGAGAAAACCGAGACAAGACTTTCTCAGACAGGTGCGGTTTCCAACTAAGTTTAGCTCTTTTAGCAGCTGTTTACTGTGAGAAAGTGATCAATTGTTTCTACAGGTCGTTGTTCATGTGGCTTCGACTCAAATTCACCTGTAATAATAAACGTTTTACTCATACATTTTTATATTTGTTTAGAAAAGTTGAGCTAGGATAACTCCCCTTGCCATTTTCAGAGACAACAACAGCAACAGTTGGCTTCTGCTCATACAGGTGAGCTGTGGCATCATTTCCAGCTCTCGCTCCTATTCACCAGAGGCGATCCTACATGCAAACTAAAGGGGGGCATTGGAAGGGCGCCCCAGAAATTTAACCCCCTCCCCAGGCCAGATAGTTTGTGTGTGTGTATGTATGTATGTGTGTGTGTATGTATGTATATATATATATATATATATATATATATATATATATATATATATATATATATATATATATACTTTTTTCTTTAGCAGGCCATATTGTGCATAAGAGAAGATCTAGTTTGTCACCAGACAATGTGAACAAGCTGGTCTGCTTGAGTGACTGGTGGAAGAAGGAGAAATAGAGCTTGGACTGATTGACCAAATGCTACTGACTGTAAATAGTTAATCATGACCTATTCTGTAGACCTACAGTGCAGAATTTGTTGAACTGAATAAACAGCTATTAAACACAAATACTTATTGATCATTATTTATTTTCATCATCAGTTATCGTAGTAAAACTGCTTTATCAGCCTGTGATGCGTTATTGAAACAAGAAATACGCCTCCATTCTCAAAGACTTGCTTTTATTCATTATCTAGGTAGCACACACATATGCCTTTGGCAGAATTTGAATGAGTCATTTTAATCTAGATTAATCTAGATTAATTCCAAGATTACAGTGAGATTAATCTAGATAAAAAAATTAATCTATGCCCACCACTAGTTTGTAGGTAATGATGAAGTGTGTCAAAGCAATTTGAATTGGTCTAATGTTACAAAAAGTGAGTTGAGGTCATACTCTATAAAGACGGAAGAATTATTGAGTAACGTTTTACCCAATGAGGCCATTAGGTGTACTGATCCAAATTGTGCAAACAAGAAACATAAAGTGGACATCTGCACATTTTATGATCGAATAATCGGAGCTCTTATTGAGAGCGGTAAGCCGCTTCATAAAGTGGTCGGCAGCTCTAATATTAAGTTGCCCGGGTGGAACATGTATGTCGCTGGATTCCATGAGCAGGCCCAAGTAGCAACAAGGGGAATGGGCCCAAGTGGGTAGACCCAGACAAGGCCTGCTATATGAAAAAAAAAAAAGTTTACACTTGCTAGATATAAGTATGCTATTAGGTTCATTAAGAAGAACGAACAAGCAATGAGGTCTGATTCCTTGGCTGGGAAACTACTATCAAAAATGTCTTGGATTTTTGGAAAGAGATACGAGTTCTTAATAAAAACAAAACTGTTTTGCCTCGCTGTGTTGAAGGTATGTCTGGACCAGACAGCATTGTTGAGCATTGGAAACAGCATTATGATGCTCTATTTAACGAGAGGGTGCTCGCTGCAGAACCACAAAGGCGGAGCTGCACCATAAGGTGGAGCTGCACCAGGGTCAGCCCCGCCCATTCACGCAAACTCAGCCTAGCCCACTGACTTCCGTTTTTGTTTTCCAACTTCATCGCAAACTAACCTGACCCACATGAATTATGGCTGTTACTACTTTACAAATGTTAATGCTATGTTCTATGCTCCAATTAAACAAGATAAATATAACTTGCTACATGACAAAGCCTGAATACATCTTGAAATGAAACGATTTCTTTTAGCAGATATCTGCCCACAGCCGCTCTAACAATAATGTGGGGCAACAGCATGGGTGATTGTTATATGTGCTCTGGTAGTCCAGTGGTAAGATCATCTGAAGCAAGTTTTGCTTCCCCCTCAGCAGATGCTGGTTCGATTCTCGGTGAGATCGGCGTCAATCTATTTAGCCAGCTGAAACATTGAATTTGTTTATATTTTAGTTGTAATGTTTATTTTCAGCTAAATATTTATGTCTCTAAAAGTTCTTTGAATTTGGTCGTTCCTAAACAGCATTTTAGTTGAAACTCTGCTCACAAATGGACTCACAATGGCTAAATAAACGAATAAATAAATAAACACATTAGTCATTATATTGTAAACGGTATACCAGTAAATTGTTGTAAACAGTACTGGCAAGTGTAGCTAGAAATTAAGAAAAGGGGTTGTAATCTACCTAAGATTTCTGCCACTGGGAGTCAAACCTGCGCAATACTACATGCAAACCTGCCTCCATAGCCTCTACCCAACCACATCTGATGTGAAGTAAGTGGCGTAACATGTAATTGTCCTATCCAGTGTGTCTTTGGAGATGGGATGTATGGTTTATTGGCGGTGTCTCAGTAGAAGTCATTTCAGAAATAATTTGTCAGAAAATTCACAGAATATCCAGATTTGAGAACCAAGACCAGACCCACTTCAGGGGAGGAGACCAAATTGAAGCTGAGATGGGAGGAAAATGCATGAATGAGGCCAAAAATGGCTTTGGCGTGTTTCTTATGAGGAAATGACAATATAACATGATAAAAAGTTCCAAAAGTTAGATTTTTAATTATATGGAACCTTTACAAAAACTGTTCAGTTAACTTCTCACCTCCGTCCTCAATCTTGTATTTTTTAGCTATAAAACCCTCTTTGGTTCCAGAATGCTATCAAGTCTGACAACTGGAAGGAATTGTACTGACTCTGATGGAATGGACGGGGCTGACCCTGGTGCAGCTCCACCTTCTGGTGCAGCTCCACCTTTGTGGTTCTGCAGCGAGCACCACTTGTATTTAACTGCTTATGTAGTGAACAAATGAATGTAACAGTGGTAAACAGCACAGAGTCCATTAGTGTTACAGCTTGTGAGGTGCGTCAAGCAGTGATTGAGCTTCCAGACAGTAAATCTTGTGGTCTGGATGGAATGTACACGGAACATCTGAAATATGATAACTTTAGGTTATTACCTCTACTAGCCATCTGTTTTACTAGTTGATTGATACATGGCATTCTGCCTGATGCGCTTATGTCTATTATTCTGGTCCCTGTCATAAAAGACAAAGCAGGTAGAGCAACAGCAACAGTTGGCTACTGCTCATACAGGTGAGCTGTGGCATCATTTCCAGCTCTCGCTCCTATTCACCAGAGGCGATCCTACATGCAAACTAAAGGGGGGCATTGGAAGGGCGCCCCATAAATTTAACCCCCTCCCCAGGCCAGATAGTTTGTGTGTGTGTATGTATGTATGTGTGTGTGTATGTATGTATATATATATATATATATATATATATATATATATATATATATATATATATACTTTTTTCTTTAGCAGGCCATATTGTGCATAAGAGAAGATCTAGTTTGTCACCAGACAATGTGAACAAGCTGGTCTGCTTGAGTGACTGGTGGAAGAAGGAGAAATAGAGCTTGGACTGATTGACCAAATGCTACTGACTGTAAATAGTTAATCATGACCTATTCTGTAGACCTACAGTGCAGAATTTGTTGAACTGAATAAACAGCTATTAAACACAAATACTTATTGATCATTATTTATTTTCATCATCAGTTATCGTAGTAAAACTGCTTTATCAGCCTGTGATGCGTTATTGAAACAAGAAATACGCCTCCATTCTCAAAGACTTGCTTTTATTCATTATCTAGGTAGCACACACATATGCCTTTGGCAGAATTTGAATGAGTCATTTTAATCTAGATTAATCTAGATTAATTCCAAGATTACAGTGAGATTAATCTAGATAAAAAAATTAATCTATGCCCACCACTAGTTTGTAGGTAATGATGAAGTGTGTCAAAGCAATTTGAATTGGTCTAATGTTACAAAAAGTGAGTTGAGGTTATACTCTATAAAGACGGAAGAATTATTGAGTAACGTTTTACCCAATGAGGCCATTAGGTGTACTGATCCAAATTGTGCAAACAAGAAACATAAAGTGGACATCTGCACATTTTATGATCGAATAATCGGAGCTCTTATTGAGAGCGGTAAGCCGCTTCATAAAGTGGTCGGCAGCTCTAATATTAAGTTGCCCGGGTGGAACATGTATGTCGCTGGATTCCATGAGCAGGCCCAAGTAGCAACAAGGGGAATGGGCCCAAGTGGGTAGACCCAGACAAGGCCTGCTATATGAAAAAAAAAAGCTTACACTTGCTAGATATAAGTATGCTATTAGGTTCATTAAGAAGAACGAACAAGCAATGAGGTCTGATTCCTTGGCTGGGAAACTACTATCAAAAATGTCTTGGATTTTTGGAAAGAGATACGAGTTCTTAATAAAAACAAAACTGTTTTGCCTCGCTGTGTTGAAGGTATGTCTGGACCAGACAGCATTGTTGAGCATTGGAAACAGCATTATGATGCTCTATTTAACGAGAGGGTGCTCGCTGCAGAACCACAAAGGCGGAGCTGCACCATAAGGTGGAGCTGCACCAGGGTCAGCCCCGCCCATTCACGCAAACTCAGCCTAGCCCACTGACTTCCGTTTTTGTTTTCCAACTTCATCGCAAACTAACCTGACCCACATGAATTATGGCTGTTACTACTTTACAAATGTTAATGCTATGTTCTATGCTCCAATTAAACAAGATAAATATAACTTGCTACATGACAAAGCCTGAATACATCTTGAAATGAAACGATTTCTTTTAGCAGATATCTGCCCACAGCCGCTCTAACAATAATGAGGGGCAACAGCATGGGTGATTGTTATATGTGCTCTGGTAGTCCAGTGGTAAGATCATCTGAAGCAAGTTTTGCTTCCCCCTCAGCAGATGCTGGTTCGATTCTTGGTGAGATCGGCGTCAATCTATTTAGCCAGCTGAAACATTGAATTTGTTTATATTTTAGTTGTAATGTTTATTTTCAGCTAAATATTTATGTCTCTAAAAGTTCTTTGAATTTGGTCGTTCCTAAACAGCATTTTAGTTGAAACTCTGCTCACAAATGGACTCACAATGGCTAAATAAACGAATAAATAAATAAACACATTAGTCATTATATTGTAAACGGTATACCAGTAAATTGTTGTAAACAGTACTGGCAAGTGTAGCTAGAAATTAAGAAAAGGGGTTGTAATCTACCTAAGATTTCTGCCACTGGGAGTCGAACCTGCGCAATACTACATGCAAACCTGCCTCCATAGCCTCTACCCAACCACATCTGATGTGAAGTAAGTGGCGTAACATGTAATTGTCCTATCCAGTGTGTCTTTGGAGATGGGATGTATGGTTTATTGGCGGTGTCTCAGTAGAAGTCATTTCAGAAATAATTTGTCAGAAAATTCACAGAATATCCAGATTTGAGAACCAAGACCAGACCCACTTCAGGGGAGGAGACCAAATTGAAGCTGAGATGGGAGGAAAATGCATGAATGAGGCCAAAAATGGCTTTGGCGTGTTTCTTATGAGGAAATGACAATATAACATGATAAAAAGTTCCAAAAGTTAGATTTTTAATTATATGGAACCTTTACAAAAACTGTTCAGTTAACTTCTCACCTCCGTCCTCAATCTTGTATTTTTTAGCTATAAAACCCTCTTTGGTTCCAGAATGCTATCAAGTCTGACAACTGGAAGGAATTGTACTGACTCTGATGGAATGGACGGGGCTGACCCTGGTGCAGCTCCACCTTCTGGTGCAGCTCCACCTTTGTGGTTCTGCAGCGAGCACCACTTGTATTTAACTGCTTATGTAGTGAACAAATGAATGTAACAGTGGTAAACAGCACAGAGTCCATTAGTGTTACAGCTTGTGAGGTGCGTCAAGCAGTGATTGAGCTTCCAGACAGTAAATCTTGTGGTCTGGATGGAATGTACACGGAACATCTGAAATATGATAACTTTAGGTTATTACCTCTACTAGCCATCTGTTTTACTAGTTGATTGATACATGGCATTCTGCCTGATGCGCTTATGTCTATTATTCTGGTCCCTGTCATAAAAGACAAAGCAGGTAGAGCACGTTGCATGGACAACTAAAGGCCTGTTGCATTGGCAAGCATTGTATCCAAGGTTATGGAAAAGGTGCTACTAAGTAGGCTAAAGGATTTTATCTACTCCATAGATAATCAGTTTGGGTTCAAGACTAAGTTTAGCACAGATTTGTGCATATTTGCTTTAAAATAAATCATTAGGAAGTTTCAAAGAGGCAACTCGTCTGTGTTATTATCCTTTATTGATGTGTCTAAAGCCATTGACCGTGTAAATCATCTGAAACAGTTTGTTAAAATGCGACAACAAGGGGTTCCTAAGTACATTCTGAGAATCCTACTCTACTGGTATGCTAATCAGGATATGCAGGTGAGATGGAGTAGTAGATTTTCTGCTCCTTTTGGTGCTACTAATGGAGTAAAGCAAGGCGGGGCACTCTCTCCAGTGCTTTACAACTTGTACATGGATGAACTGTCACAGCAGTTAAATAATTGCAGAATTGGTTGTATGATTGGATCAACCCTAGTCAACCATCTTATGTATGCTGACGATCTTGTCGTCCTGAGTCCTAGTAGTGTGGGATTACAGGAACTGCTAGATATTTACTCAAAGTATGAGGTGGATTTTGACATCAATTACAATTCTAGTAAGAGTGTCATCATGCTCAGATGACACTCTTCTTTTTGTAGAACAAAAGAAGATAAAGGGTTACAGTTTCCCCAATTTGAATTATGTGGTAATGTTTTGCCTGTGACGGACAAATATAAATATTTGGGGCACTTTATTAATGATGAATTGGCTGATGATGATGATATTGATCTGCAATGCCGTAGAATGTACGCACAGGCCAATATGTTAGTGCGTAGGTTTAGTATGTGCACTAATGCAGTTAAAAAGACACTCTTTAAAGTATACGGTACTCAATTATATACAGCTCAATTGTGGTCTTCCTATAAGCAAACAAGTCTTAGGTGTCTTAATGTAGCATATAATGATCGTCTGAGAATATCACTAAAGAGGCCTCGTTGGGAAAGTGCGAGTTGCTTGTTTGTCTCTTCTGGGATCAGTACATTCCACGCTGTGTGGAGGAACTTGATGTTTAAGTTTATTTGTCGAGTTAATCAATGTGAAAATGTTATTATTAAGTGCTTGGTTAATGTTGACTGTAGTACCGCACGCTATCAGTCTGAATTATAGCATTATTGGTATAGGTATTTATATAGAATTCCTTGTATCTTTGTCTTTTCTTGTGAAGTTTTTATCTTATGTTTGTTTTTATTGGCTCTGAACCTTGAGTCTGTTAATAAAAGTTGATTGATTGATTGATTGATTGATTGAATAAATAAGTCAAACAAACTGTATTTTGGATGTAGGCATATGGGAAATCTTGTGCTATGTACATCTATGTTTAAATCAATTTCAGTAATAATTGTTTTTTCAAACTTTAATATTTTAGACTAACACAAATTTATTTTGCATGCTTACAATAAAAAATAACATAAATACACATATGACTGTCTGCCAAGTGAATTACAACCAAACCATCTGTGCTTTTTGGGGCATGTACACTGTAAAACATGTGTGAAGTGTTACAGATTTACTGCACAGCTTAGCAATCCTAGTGGTGAAATGTCTCCTTGTGGGTGCGTGAACATGGATGGGTTGTAAATAAAATGCCTGTAGATGGATTTCCCTGCTCACACTGCATGATTGAATCAATTTGTTTCCATGTTGAATACGCTGCAACTGAGTCTGTATATCATGACAAAGGTTGTATAAAACATAGATTCATCCTCACAGCCTGCCTAGTGGGGTCGACATGCTTTAAGACACAGAGTCATCAAACTGTTCAACATACTGCCGAGGAGGCAGTAATAGACCGCGAGATCAAATGAATCTTCAAATTGTTTAAAGCTTATGGTTGTTCCATAAAATAGAATCGATCTCATTTGTTTGATGGATTTCACTCGCTGTAATTCTTAAAACCAAAAGTACCGATGTGCTTCAATGTTCTTACATTCAAATAGTGGGGTCTGCCCATGTGAGCTAATACTGTGTTTATGTAGAGTTCCATCCTGGAGGTGATATATTTACACAGTGAATAGAATAAAAATAAGTCAAGATTTTCCATTAAATGCAATTAATGATTATGAGTCGTTTGGATAAAAAGCATCTTGGTGGATTTATATCGTCCGGAAAAGCATAACATTTTTGACTAAAGTGCATTGACATTGACAGCATGTGAGAAGCCAGATAATGCAAACTGCTTATTTATCATATTGACAGATAATTAGACCAATAGCTCCTATATTTTTCTAGCAGATAGCCACGAGAAAATACCACAATACATCTGTCTCTAACAGTCACTACAGTCAGTGGGTTCATAACATAAATATATATTAAAAATATGTTTACAAAGGGAATAAAATACCCCCTTAGCTGCATTTTCATCAATTTCAATTTCATAAATATCTTTATAAAGATCACATAGGCGCTATGTTGTCAGGACTTCTGCTCACAAACACAACTTCATCAATACTGCCTCGTGCGATTATTGAATGCCTATAAAGCCGGCAAGCCTCTGAGGTTTATAAGTTTCTGCGAGTGAAGCCAGCTAAAGGTCATCCCAATAGGTAGTAACTGACTGAATTAAATAAAATAGCAAATGTCACTTACATAAGAAAACACTGTGAACAGATGAGATTGGCTAATGGGTCTTGAAGAAACAGAAGAACGTGTCAAAATGAAGCAGAAGCACCTCCTTACATGAGAAATACTACATTTTATTTCTGGCACACTGAAAAATTATGTCTGAGGTCAGAGCTGCCCATTGTCCTCTAATGTCCCCCATCTGAGCTTTGGTGGGTAAGTATGAGTTACAAGCCACTGCCTCTGATGGTAATCATGGCCCAGATTATTGTCCATCTGTTGAGCAGCTTAATAAGCATCAGAAACAACAATTAGATGACTGTTCATAATGACGCCATGGTCCAGTAACACCAACCTCTTGCTGCCCTCTGAGCTCTAGTCACCTACCAACAATGTTGTGGCTGCCTCCATATGGCCCACCATAAATTAGCATTCGTACTCTTACTTGTGCAAATGCTTCCGATACCTTTTGACAGTTTTCCACAGAGGACAGCTCACAGCTGCTGGTGTGCACCATGTACTTGCAGTACATATTCTAATTGCATTGTATGCAGCTGGTATGCTGCAGCCTAATGCTTACACAGTGGTTATTATTAGTGAATGTTATGTTCTGCCCAGTCTCGCCAAACTCCACTAGAATCACTAAAGCTCGACAAACAAATTGTGTAATATGAAATAGAATGTCAAAATGACTAGAAACTCTTTAGTAATAAAAGTCAAACATTTGGTAAGTAAGGTTAAGGATAGCTCAGGAGGTGGTGAAAAGGAGAGGGTAATTATTCCTCTTGCGTATTAGAAATAGTACAATTATAATGTATCCCATTACCTAAAAGTTAGTTTATAAGCTCATATTTAAAGAAACACAGGTAGAAAATGCTTTCATATATGATCACAATTATTTTGGGGATGGAAAGGATGGCAGGGGTTCAGCGGAGTTGGACATAACAGCCTGTTAGGGACAGGCAGAAAACCTCTTAGTTTGGTTCATCTTTGCTTGCCTTAGTTGGCTTTCCACCGGAGCCATAACATCAACAAAGCGTAATATGCAACTAATAGCTGCCGCTAGAGTCAATAGCTGTGTTTCCACTGGCTGTGAAGTGGTGTGTTTTGGACAAGTCCCAGAAGAAAAGTGTCATGTCACTCCAATAAATGTTCACTTTGGGTCTTTTTTTTTTTTTTTTTACGTGATACGAGTCCAGAACGCGTAAATCTCAGCAGGTCAGATCGGTTCAGACAGGAAATCAAACCCGGGAGTATTTTCAAATATCTGGCAACTTTCAAAATAAAAGACATGTGCAGCTTTCCATGTGCTTTTTTTCCCGTGTCCTGTCTGGCTGTGCAGCAAACAGAATTGATGTCTGAATGCTGGTGACAAGCCTTACAGATTTACTCTCAGGTGGAGCATCAAAGCGTCTGCTTTTCATGTCACGCCTGATACTTAAAACTTTATTGTTTTTGAATGCTTTGTAATTCCGACCAGACACGGAGTCAGAGGTGAAAGAGAAAGGAAAAGACAAAAGTGTGTGTGTGTGTGTGTGTGTGTGGGGGGGGGGGGGGGGGGGGTCCACAAAAGTAAACAATAATGAACAAGAGTCTGCTTCTAGACCTGCAGAAAGATGAAGAATAGAAAGAAATGGGACACACAACAATACATCAGGAGCAAGCTATCACTGCGTCAGCCTGATGATGAAATATAAAATCAACATTGTTTAACTGAACAATCACACGATAATAAATCATAGTGCATTTAGTGGCAACGACAGCCTTAAGACATGTGTTGAACGTGCCCAAGCCCATACTTTTGAGAGCACCTGTGTGTGTACACGCGCTTGCTTATGTAAGGTTTCTCTATAAGAGCGTCCAACAGAGAGTGTGAGGGACCACAGATCTGCCCTCCAAAGATGCATAGGAGATGGAGGGAGCTCCAAGTCCCAGAGATCCAGGTGCTGCCCCAGAACACAGGAACCCCAAGGAGACTGCAACCAGAAAGGCCCTCGCCCCCTTCGAGAGGCACAGAGGATCGCCCCGGGGGCCACAACCAGCAGCCAGCAGAGTCCCGGGAGATATCAGCGGCAAGCCCACAGGCCCGCCCACAGCCTCCCACCCCCTAGCCGGCCGAGCCCGGGACCCAGCGACCCGGGACTCAGGGGCGACCACCCCCGCCGGAGACCCAGCAGAGCCCAGGGACCCAGACCCCACCAGACAGCCACCGGGATTGATCAGGTAGGCACCAAAAATCTTAAACCCCCTGACCCGGGAGCCACGAACACTCAGGCAGACCAAGGCACCACACTCCACACCAGGTGTGGCAGGGGGAGGGGAGACGAAGATCTATATCATCAAAAGAAATCCCAGGAGAAGAGAGGAGGCAAAGGCCCCACCTTACATATACAGTCATACACAAACACAGTCACACACTCCCTCCCTCATGCTCACACATACACATACAACCAAAGACTTACAAAAATGCACACCGGACACCCACTCATGCTCCCCATACACACCCTATTCACTCTGGTCCCAGTACTGCTGCACAGGGGGTACAACAATTACCGGTTACCAGAGTTTGACCCTTTCTGCTGGGGTGCTGATGAGCAGGCTCCCCGCCCAACGCTGAGCACAGCAACCCACCAACCCAGACCCCAACCAGACGGCCTGATCTCCCTCATAGCCTCCAGCCCCAGGAAGCCAAGCAACAACAGAGGTGTGCTAAGACCCTTAGTCTCCCTCCGCCTGCTCCAATATAGTGTTGATGAGGTGTATTCATTGGCTGTGGTGAGCGGGCAGTGCGGGCATTGTCTGGCCTATGCCAGCTGATGCCACCACACCACCCCACTTGCACCCACAGCCCTCGGTGTCTAAGTGCAGTATAAAATTGGAAGTGGGCACCGGCTTTCGGGATGAGGCTGAGAAATCCCCCTGCCAACTTCCGTTGGATGTGCTCACTCCCAAGGCCCTAAGTGTGTGTTTGCGTGGAATGTCGTTGGTGGAAGTGTTTAAGGTGCAAATTAAATTGGGGGGCAGGTTCCACAGGAATGCGGAAATGGGGTCCATACCCGCACTCCCTGACTTCTCCACCCCCAAGGTCCTATGTGCATGTTTGTGTGATGATATGAGGGAACAAGAGGAGAAAAATATGCGGGGATGGGGAGGAATGGCTGGTACGGCTTAGCCCTCCAGGGAGCCAGCTCCCCCACTGGCCCCAATAGGCACCTCTGTTATCAAAATGCCACCCAGGGCATGGAGACCCCAGTCCATCTTGCCAGGGCCCAAAGCAGCAGCACTGCAGAGCCTCACAGAGTCCGAGGGCACCAACCCAGCCCCACCCCAGCAGAATATCTACGTCCATCCCTGCATTTGCACAACTTCCAGAATATATAAGACATAGGACATCCAGGTAAGGTTGGGTCCCCCCCCTCCTGGACCTCCCCCTCCCAGCTTTCCATGTGCTTAACTAGTATAAAAAATATGTCAATACTCCATAGCCAAGGTAAAAAAAAAAAAAAATTAAATAAGGGAATAAACGTGCTGCTGGTTTTTTTTTCCTTGCTTTTTATTGCGTGAACTGCCAACATCATGCATGAGCTTGCAATTCTTCAGTGATTTTGTAACTTTGCAGGACCAGTTACGTGGAACACTTGCTACAGATTCACAGTAGAAACACTCCCAGTCTTAAGGGACACGCTGCTGAGCATGTTGGAAAAACATGTCTAATATGTTTCATGCAACTTGCAAATCCACTCGTTAAGAAAAGTGTTAAAACAATTGCTGTGGCATGATGTTTAGACAAAGTTGTTATGTAAATTCCCACGCGTTTCTGTATACATTTAGTAATTGTCTCTTTATGGAAAATGCCATTTTAATCATTGTGGATTCAAGTTTATGCTCCAAGCCAAGGGTCACTAAAGACACCAGCTCCAAACCAAATGATAATAATAATAATACATTTTATTTAAAAGCGCCTTTCTGGTCACTCAAGGACACTGTACAGAATAAAAACACAAATCATTCAGTAAGTAAACATACGTTAACATCAACAAACAAGGCACTCTAAAATTCAAAGCAGATACTGCATGTGGTTATGAAGAGGTGAGTTTTGAGTTGTTTTTTGAATTCTGTGAATGAGTTAATGTTCTTGATGAGAGGGGGAAGGGAGTTCCAGAGTTTGGAAGCGGTGCAGCTGAAGGCTCTACTCCCCATGGTGCTGAGACGAAAGGAGGGCACAGAGAGATGAATGGAGGAGGAGGACCTGAGGGAACGGGACGAGGTGACGATGTGAACGAGATCTGTGAGGTAGTGAGGGGCGATGTTATGGATGGCCTTAAAGGTGAGAAGGAGAATCTTGTAGTTAATCATGGTGTGCACTGGTAGCCAATGGAGTTGTTTGAGGATGGGGGTGATGTGATGAGAGATGGGAATTTTAGTAATGATGCGTGCTGCTGCATTCTGAACCAACTGAAGCTTACGGAGGGTTTTCTGAGGGAGACCTGAGGGAAGAGAGTTGCAATAAATGATACGTGATGTAACCAGACTATGGACAAGAATAGAAGTAGAGTGGACATCAAGGGAGGGGCGAAGACGATTAATGTTACGAAGATGGAAATAAGCTGACCGTGTGATGCTATTGATATGAGATTGGAAGGATAGTGTGCTGTCTAGGATGACATCCAGACTCTTGACCTGGGGAGAGGGGGAAACTGAAGTATTATCAACAGTAAGAGAGAAACTGTCAAATTTTGAGAGGGTATTCATGGTACCAACCAAAAGAAGTTCTGTTTTGTCTGTATTTAATTTCAGGAAGTTCGAACTGAACCAGGATTTTATTTCTTGAAGGCAGGTGATGAGGGAGGAGGGAGGAAGTGCAGAATTTGGCTTACTGGACAAATAGAGCTGGGTGTCATCCGCGAAGCAATGAAAATGAATATTGAATCTGCGGAAGATATTGCCAAGGGGAAGGATGTATATAATGAAAAGGAGGGGCCCCAGGACAGAGCCCTGGGGCACACCAGAAGAGACAGAAGAGGGCTGTGAGTGGGAGGATTTGATAGTAATGAATTGAGTGCGACCTGATAGGTAGGACTAAAACCACTGAAGTGGGATGTTAGCAATGCCGATGGATACCTTTTGTCCTTCACAATGTCCTGTCTGTATTTATTTTTCTCCTCCAGTGCTCATTCGGTTTGGTGCGCTCTTTGGACCATCCATGGTGTCACTTTCTTTTCTTTCCCCTATTCAGAACAAATTGATTGACCTCAGCCGTCCCTTCAATTGAAACATTCTCTGGGTATATTTTTGTCAGCTGGGGTATTCTGATCACAGGTATTTCTAAAAGCATTTTTAAATGTTTGTGCTTTGCTATTTTATTTCATAATTCTTCATCAATGAGCAACTTTATATTTTAATCTGAATTTATGGCGAACAAGTATCATTTGTTTTTGTGAAGTGACTCCAAATGAGCTTGATTTATTTTCTCAACTCAAAACAGGTTTGACCTCCATTTGCCCCCCTCCCCTTCCCTTATAATGCAGTTTT